GATTATATATATATATATATATATATATATATACATATATATATAATTTTTAACTCACAATTCATACTTTACTTACTCACAAATGCAAGTTTATATCACACAACTCTGAGGGAAAAAATATGAGAAATTGTGAGAAAAAAGTTGCAATTACTTTTTTAATTTTCTTTATTATTCAGTGGCAGAAACAAGCTTCCATGCAAAATACACAACAAAATTGCTAAAAATTTACTTAAAATTAAAATGAAAACAGAAAATGTATAATAAATCTAATTCAAAATATTAATAAAAACTAAAAATATATATATAATAGTATCTCACTGATACTAACTGACACTGATTTGCTGAACATACACATCTTAATCATTATTTTCAAAAAAAATTTTACATATATTTTTTTTACTTTTTATTTCAGTTAAAAATAATTCTGTTTTATTTCAAGTAACTGAACACGAACATGAATTACTCATTCATGAATATGCTTTTAGGCACCACATGACATTTTACAACCTGAACTAACCTTGGCTTGCCATTAAAAGGTCAAGTTATCTGATATTTTAAGACACCTATTAACCTTTACACAGTCATGAGGGTCTGCAGGGCTCCTCTCTATGACTTCATTTCCTGTTTTAAGTTTCCTCATCTTGCACTGCCATGTCTCACCTTACGAGGCTGGCCATCATGTCCCAGCACCTCCCTGTAATACTCCATATTCTCAGTCATGAACTCTTCGCCTTCGTGGAACAACAGGTAGGTCAACGCGCACTCCAACGCCTCTTCATTCCTCCCAGCTGAACACACAGAGAAAAGAAACAGCTATTCAGTGTTGATGAAGCCACCAGGGTTCTGTTGCTTGGCTCATCTTGGGAGATTATTCATCCTGTCTGATTTTTTGGAGTCATCTTTTCCCACAGTCACGTTTATTCCCTTTTGGAGACACACATGCTTGGAAACATTCGCATTCCAGGCCAGTGACCACAATGGAGCAAACACCACAGGGGTGAGCGAGTGGAAACACACGGCTCTGAGACTTGCTGCAGAGACGGCACTCGCACACACACCTGAATGACTTGCCATTTTATGAACAATAAGCAGTAATACTAATATTTTTCATTGAAATTTTCTTGAGGTGGAAGGAAAAGTTCTGCTTTGACATTTCCAAGAAGAAATCAATCAAGTCTGAAATATTGATCAGACTCTCTCTCTCCTTTAGAGCAAGTAATTTCATGATTAATGAGGTTTTGTCATTTAAAAATAATTGTCAAGGTGGTTTTAATCTGATTATAATTACCGTTGACATTTTCTTTCCAATACTGACTAATTCTACATTTTGAATGATGTAAGTCAGTTGTGTTGTAGCCAATATCTTCTATCCTGAGTCCAAGATCCAAGAAGAGAATTGGGGTCAGATACAAAATCAAGACTTTTACCCCAAGACTGTGAAGGAGAGAACGTTCATTCAAGCTAGTTTTGACATGTATAGAGGTTTACCTTGGAAATAGGCAAATTGCAGGTAGTCGTAATGCAGTGGCAGGTAGTTTTCCACAGGCGACAGGCGACCAGGGCGCGTAGCCAAGTCTCGGACACACTCGTGCTGACAGTGAAGAACCTGTGTGTAATGATCTGGAAGACAAAGTTCAACATGATTTAGATGAGGGGTCTCAAGTACAAATTAGCTTGGGGCCACTAGCCAGTTCGTATTCTCCATCTTGAACCAGTTATCAGAAAAAGTTACAACACAAACAGATGTTTGAATTTGAACTATATGCCATTACATCCATAAAAACAAAGGTTTAAAAATAGGCGTTTTGCAGTGATGCTAAAGAAGAACCATTTTGGTTCCTCAGAGAACCTTTCAGTGAATAGTTCTTGAGAGAACTATCTTTTTCTTTTTGTGAAGACCATTTAATACTCTGAAGAAACTTCTTCCACTATAAAATCTTTTGTGTAATGGAAAGATTCCATGGATGTTACATTCTTAAAAATGAAGGTTCTTTATTAGGGGCTTTCGGACTGGAGGAACCTTTTCATAGTTCTTAGAGGTATTGGTTGAAGTACCCACTTTTTGGCATGTTTGCACCGCAGGAACTAGGAACAGTTTTAGTTCTAGAAACTCTGTTTGGGAGAACTAAATTAGCTCCTACTTCAGAGTAGGGTCTCAAACCAGTTGTTGACGTTTGTAAATGCTGCGAATAAAGATGTCGCTGTCTGCCGCTTAAGAGTTCCTACTGCCGGTGCGAAAATGCCTGCAGGCTATAGTTCCTATAGACAGAGCCGATCCTCCCTATACGCAAAATACGCAAGCTGCGTAGGGCCCCCGAAACACCAGGGGGCCCCCTTGCTCTCAAAGATGATTTAATTTTAGTTTCGTTTTTGAATTTGGCCAGCGGTTATGAAAACATAACGGTGCGCTGTCGCCCTTTCTACGTCAAAATCAGTCAAATCATGTAATGTGAATGTCGTACAGTCTTGCTCGAGACTAAAAAAACGCAGACATAGTTTTACGTAGGATCCCCAGAAGTCTAGGATCGGCGCTGCCTATAGAAGAACCATTTTTGGTTCCTCAGAGAACCTTTCAGTTAATAGTCCTTAAGAAAACTATTTTCTCTTATAGTGAAGACCATTTAATATTCTAAAGAAATGTTATGAAGAATTAAGAAATTCTGTGACATCAAAGTACCGCGAGATGGTACTTTGATGTCATACAACGTTCGATCGGAGAAGCGCAAACAACCAACACCTGGTTATTTTAGGCAATTTAGAAATCCTGTGCAGAACGTGTCCCCCGAAAGTGGCACATTTGGTCACCTTATGTTACATTCTTAAAATCGAAAGTTCTTTATTGGCATCTATGGTTCCGTGAAGAACCTTTAACATTCTTGGAACCAATTCCTTTCTACAAAAGGTTCTAAGTGGGAAAAGGTTCTTTAGATTATTAAAATGTTCTTCACAGTAAGATAATAATGTTTCTAAGAACTATTCACTGAAAAGTTATTTGGAGAACTCAAAATAGTTCTTCAATGGCATTGCTGCGAACCTTTTGGAACCTTTATTTTTAAGAGTGTACTTGTGGAAAAACAGAAACAGGGCATCGCGGCAGGATCTAATGGCTTAATAACACACTGTAATACTGGTTGATGTAGTTGAAAATGTGATCCATGTCTTTTCCCAAAGCACATGGAGTGAGATCATCTAACTGGGATCAAATCAAAGATGTGCAACCAGACGTGCTGGTGTATTTCATGTGGACAAGGTTGAAGATTAAATTAGAGAGCTGAGAAGACTTTAAACTCACTATAACCTCCTGAGACCTCATATGAGGACATTCTATTTTGGTGTATATTTCTGAGACTATACCTGCCACAGTTTTAAGTCTGGATGTTCTGTACAGAGCACATTCAGGGCTTTTCAGAGATACTAAATGTTTCACTATGACCACTCCCTCTCCTTGGTCTTCAAATATGTCTGATATTAATTTAGTGACACTCTTATGGAAATATGATAATATTTTGTAATTATCATTTAAATCTGTCACATTTTTAAACTGTCAAATCAAAATATGACTTTCTGTTACGAAACAGGATGTTGATTTCATACATGTCCTCATATGAGGACACTGGGACTAAAAGCATGTTTATTAGCATTTTGGGAGACATAACAAATGAATAGGGAAAGAAATTATGTTTCAATA